TGCAAGGAGTGTTTTTGGAGATGACATTTCTAGTAGACTCAGTCACCAGGTTGGATCAGTGGCTAAGTCTCAGTTGGAATTTTTAAAGAATGGGATCATGAGACAAGTTGCTAAGTCTCTGATATTTTCTGAGTCAACCCAATATAGTATTGTAGGGAGGAGTCCTTTGGCTGTTATACTTCCCACCCATAGGTACAGTGGCATTGAGTGTCCTGTTATTATCTTTGATCTTCCTTTTTTGCCCCAACATGACATTAAAGAATTGCCGCGGCCCCTCTCCCCCCGCCCACTGCCTTCAGTTTTCATTAGCAGCCTCAGCTTATTCTGAGTTTTGACATTTCTGATACAATTTTTCTAGGATCATACATTATTCATATTTGTTCTTTCTTATCTGGTTTTGCTTCTATTATCTCTACCTTTTTTTTAGTCTAAGTTGGTTGGCGAGTTTCCCATACTTACACTTTGGTCTGTCCAGATACATCATTTTTCCAATTGACTGGATTTTTTTTTCTTTCTCTGTTCAACATTTCATTGCTGACCTTCTCCCCTCCCTTCTGCACTGACTTTCCTCTAAAGCATTTTACTTCATGAGAAACATACCTGTGAGCTTTTCCTTTGAACCACTTCAAATCTGCTTTCTCAAAATCTAGACTACAGTCAGACTGGTTTTTTTTCCTTTTGTAATGTGATTCTAAAGTAAAATATTTTATAACATCCAGGTATAAATTCTTCCATCCTATTATTTAATATTAAAACATTTTCAAATATTGGCAAAGATTCTGATCAGTTTAACATGAATATGTTTTTTAAAATCAAAATTATAGTTTAAGTACTTTTCAATCATAACAGTCAAAATCATTTTAAGGCCTATGTATAATTTTATATTCTTAACAAAAAAAATTCTGAAAAGTAATTTTTTACACCCTGATGAAGCATGACATTGCCTATATCTTTAGAATATGGTATGACAAAATTTTTCTCCAGTAATCAAATCTATCTGGATTACATTAGGGGGAAAAAACCCCCCTACTTAACTATTATTTGGACAAATGATGAAGAGTGAAGGAGGTTAACTTATTTCTAAAAATCACTTAAGATCAAAGTAACCAGAGGTTTTTGCGCTTTTTTTTTAAATAAATCTTTTAACAGATGAAAAAAAAACCACCCCTCAATTCTTAGAAGGGGAAAAAAAACCCTTCCCCTGACCCAGGGAAAGAATAGACAAATGAATATGTGTCTGTCAGTTAAGAGGTAAGTACAGTTCTGTACTCTATAATTGCCACTTGTGAGATAATCATGCGTAGAAAACAATGTCAGAAGTGTTCATAAAGAACATCTTTTTGGGGGCAGCTAGGTGGCACAGTGGATAGAGCACTGGCCTCAGGGAGACCTGAGTTCAAATCCAGCCTCAGACCAAACACTTGACACTTACTAGCTGTGTGACCCTGGGCAAGTCACTTAACCCCAATTGCCCTAAAAAAAATTTTTTTTAAATTAACATCTTTTTTTCATTGTCTCATAAATAAAAGTCCACATTAAAATTATGAGGTTGTGATATAAAAACACATTTAATACAATACATTTTGTAAATCTGACTTTTTAAGTTGCATAGTGCTATTTTCTTCTCAAGGAATTGTTATTATCTTATGCAAGAAATCTTGCCTCTTTGTTTTTCAAAGTCATGATGTCTCAGAAGAACAAGAGAAGAGAGACAACCCTCCCTTTTTTCTAAATTCTTCCTCTTCTCTGCAGATGTCAGGGAGGATTATATTTGTGAAAAGTGACTTTCACTGACTCAGGAAATGTGTTAGATTTGTTGAAACGTTTTTTTCTCTCTTTCTTTGTCCTCTGTCATAATTTGAATAGGGAAGGGGGAAGGAAGTGTTTGGAAAAGAAGGCAATGTAAAAACAAACACATCAATAACAGTTAAAAATACAGCCTAGAATATTGTTGGAAAATAAAAGCAAACTTGCTCACCTACAGTTTCCTGACCATTCTGGTCACTTTTTAGAAAATGGATACTTCTGATTCTCCCTTGTTTCCCTCCTGTTGACCATTATCTTGCAAATATCACTGACGACGACTGACTCATCAATACTATCTGCCAATTCTTTTAACACTGAGAGGATTGGGTCAGCAAGATGGTGCAGGGGATAGGGATCTGGAGGTGAAGTCAGAAAGACCTGAGATCGAATCCAAGTTCAGGAGTTCTGCTTCTGGGAGCCAAGATGGCTGAGTAAGAAGTAAGTCACTCTCACCTTCCCTTATTAACCTCTGAAAGTGCAAAAAATATTGCCCCAGGAAAAATACTGGAACAGCTGAACCAGCAGAAAGATGGGATGTAGCAGTCTTGTAGCCCAGGAAGCTCGGTGGATGAATAGGAAAGGCCCCTTCTCTGGCGGAGGGGAACCAGTACAGAATGGGAGGTGTCCCAGCAAGCTAGCGGAAAGACCCACCTCAGTATACCAGGGGAGATCCTGAACCCCAGGGTGGTGGAACAGGCAAAAAGCAACACCAGGACCTCCGAGTGCCTCACTACAGGCAGAGGACCTGGTGGAAACCATCTCAGAAAACCACCACATGCCACAGCGTTCTCTGGAAGCCAAGTCTTCTGGTGCCTCAGCAAAACTGGGAAGCACAGTTCCAAGAGGGAAAGCTCTAGGCTGAGAGACATCCTGCAGCAGCAAAACATCCCTGTGCAAAGCCTGGGTGAGCATGAGCCAAAGAAAGGAGTGCAAGGCCCAGGTGAGCAGATGTCCTTCAGGGGCCAGATTCCCCACCCCTAACCCTAGAGCTCCAGTGCTGCTCATTCCAGCCCAATACCAGGTAAGCTGCCAGAACCCTACAGTCTCCAACTGCCAGTACCTGAGGCCCCAGCACACAAAGCCAGCGACCAGGCCCCTAGTCCCCAGCACAAGAAACTTGGGTCAGTGCCCCCTGCTCTCCAGTAGGAGAGTTCAATCTTTTTAAGTCAGGAAATAAGCAAACACCACGAGCAAAAAGAAACATACAGTGACCATGGATTCCTGTTGTGGGGACAGGGAAGATCAAGGCACAAATTCAGAAGAGGACAATGTTGTCAATATACCCACATCTGAAACCAAATTCTTAGAGGAGAAGTTCAGGGAGTTATAGGAAGAAATAGACAGCAAAACTATACTACTGGGGGACCTCAACCTCCTCATCTCTGAACTAGATAAATCTAACTGCAAAACAAACAAGAATAGAATTTTAGAAAAGTTAGATATGGTAGACATTTGGAGAAAATTGAATGGGGATAGAAAGGAATATACTTTTTTCTCAGTGGTACATGGCACTTGCACAAAAATTGACCACATACTAAGGCATAAAAACCTCCCAATCCAATGCAGAAATATTAACTGCATCCTTTTCAGATCATGATGCAATAAAAATTATATATAATAAAGGGCCATGGAAAGGTAGACTAAAAATTGATTGGAAACTAAATAATCTAATCTTAAAGAATGAATGGGTCAAACAACAAATCATAGAAACAATCAATAACTTCATTCAAGAGAATGACAATGAGGTACTCTCCTGGCCCAAAATGGCGACTAGGAGGGTACCCTTTCTCACGATAAAGCAATAAACTCCTTTCTACTTTCAAGGTAAAAAAAAAAAAAGAATGAGAATGAGACAAGATACCAAAACTTATGGGATACAATGAAAGCAGTTCTTAGGGGAAGTTTTATATCTCTAAATGCTTACATGAATAAAATAGAGAAAAAGGAGATCAATGAATTGGGGATGCAACTAAAAAATCTAGAAAAAGAACAAATTAAAAACCCCCAATTAAATGCCAAATTAGAAATACTGAAAACCAAAGGAGAGATTAATAAAATTGAAATTAAGAAAACTATTGAACTAATAATAATAATAATAAAAAAACTAAGAGCTGATTTTATGAAAAAAAATAGACCTTTGGTTAATTTAATTTAAAAAACAAAAGAAGAAAACTAAATTACCAGTATCAAAAATGAAAAGGGTGAATTCATCACCAATGAAGAGGAAATTAAAACAATAATTAGAAACTGTTTCACCTAATCATATGCCAATAAATTTTACAATCTTAGTGAAATGCATGAATATTTACAAAACTATAAATTGCTCAGATTAACAGAAGAGGAAGTAAAATGGTTAAATAACCTCATATCGGAAAAAGAAATTGAACAAGCCATCGATGAACTCCTTAAGACAAAATCTCCAGGGTCAGATGAATTTATAAGCTAATTCTATCAAACATTTAAAGAACAATGAATTCCAATACTATATAGACTATTTGGGAAAACAGGTGAAGAAGGAGTCTTACCAAATTCTTTTTATGATACAAATATGCTGCTGATACTTAACTGGGAAGTGTCAAAACAGAGAAGGAAAATTATAGACCAATTTCTTGAGTGACTATAGATGTAAAAATTTTAAATAAAATATTAGCAAATAGATCACAGCAACTTATCACAAGAATAATACACTGTGACCAGGTAGGATTTATACCAGGAATGCAGGGCTGGTTCAATATTAGGAAAACTATCAAGATAATTGATAATATTAACAACAAACTAACAGAAACCAGGATTATCTCAATAGATGCAGAAAAAGCTTTTGACAAAATACAACATTCCTATTAAAAACCACTAGAGAGCAACACCACTGTTCTTCAATGTCGTGGGGAGGGAGGGGGAGAAAATTTAAAACTGAAAAGCTTATGGAAGTGAATGTTGAAAACTAAAAATGAGTTAATTAATTGAAAAAAATCAAATTTCAGGCACTTGTTAGCTGTGTGACCCTGGACAAGTCACTTTACCCTAGTTTTCACATCTATAAAATGGGCACCACTATAGCACCTGCTTCCCAGGGCTGTTGTGAAGACCAGGTGAGATAATCAATGTAAAGTACTTAGCACTACCTGGAACACAGTAAGCTCCAGGTAAACTTTAGCTCTTAGTTTTATTTAGTCCATCTACCAAATGACTAGCATTCACCAGGTAAGGGGAAGGAACGGAGGGGGCGGGGCTCCTGGCAGAAAGGGCGGGGAGGGACTGAGCAGGGAGGCAGGGCCACGTTGCAGGCCGGGGGCGGGGTCGAGCCCCAGGCATGCGCAGAAGGCGCCTCAGCTTTCAGACTACGATTCCCAGAAGTCCGTGCTCGCCTCAGAGGCATTTTCCAAAGAGGGCGGGCCGTCCCTCATGTCACTTCCCCCACCCCTCTTTCAGACTCTCATGGTTGTTTGTGTAGCTCCTTCCCTTTCTCTGTCCTGGGCTGACGTGTGACAGGGTGAGCGGGCCCAGTCCTCGGCGCAGCCGGCTGCGGGGGTACGGCGGGGTCGGAGCACCGGGGGCTGGCTGGGGAGCACACGGAGAATGGGAGGAGCGTCCGGCAGAGGAGGAAGGAAGCCCCCCGAGGGGCTCCCAGGGGTCTGGGGGCGGCCCGTGCGGGGGGCGGGGGTTGGAGGCGGAGCAGGCGAAGGCGGAGCCTACGGGCGGGTTCTAATTCTCCTTCACTCACGCCCGCATCCCGTGGCCCAGGTGTGGGCCTGCCCCTCCAGGCCTCGGGCCTTGCTCTGTGCCCAGAGTCCCAGGGAACCTGCTCCCGGTGTGTGTCTGTCTGGCCCGCATCCCGTTGCCCAGGTGTGGGCCTGCTCCTCCAGGCCTCGGGCCTTGCTCTGTGCCCAGAGTCCCAGGGAACCTGCTCCCGGTGTGTGTCTGTCTGGCCCTCCATGCGGGCTTACCGTGGCCTCATCTCCTCCTCCCAGCATCCTCCTTGGTAGCGCCTCCTCTGGGAATCCTTCCCTGATGCTGCCGGGGCCCCGTGCCCTCCCCCTGCTGAAAGGGTTAGCTGTCTGACCTCCAGTTTGTCTCTAAAGAGATGCTGGCCCAAAGACAGCCCCCCGCCCCCAAGGAGAGAAACGCGCTTCCTTTTGGCCCCCTCCCACCCCAGCCCCTGCCCCCCTCCCTGATCTACCCCCAGTGAGAAGTGGGAATGTCTGGTCTGAGCAGGGCAGACCCCTGCGTGACCCCTCCTTCTCCTGCTTCTTCTTTTCTCCACAGCTCTCCCTTCTGTGGCCTCTGCTCTGCCCCAGGAGGACAGCCTGTAGGAAGAGGGAATGGCTTCTGCCCTGACAGCCAGGCCCGGGAAGGTGAGTGCCACTTGCTGCTTTCCTCAAATAACATCTCAGGCCAGAGACCGTGGGATAGGTGTCTTTGTCTTGTGCTGTAACAGTAGGGATTGTGGGCATCAGAGAATCATATTTAGAGCTGAAAGATGCCATAGACACCGTGTTATCCTCTCCCCATGAAAAAAAAACTGTTTCCTTTTTTTTCTAATTTTGAATTCCAAATTCTTTTCCTCCCTCCAATCTTTCCACCACTCACTGAGAAGGCAAACAATAGGATATCCATTATACATGTGAAATAATGCAAAACATTTTCATATTGGCTATAGTCCAAAAAAAATAAAAGTGAAAAAGAATATGCTTCAATTTGTACTCAAAGTTCATCAATTCTTTCTTCATTTTTTATAAATCCTTTGGAATTTTCATGGATCATTGTATTCATCAGAATAGCTAAGTCTTTCATGGTTGGTCATTATTGCCCCAGTCTTCTCCTAGTTCTCACTTTTCATATTTATTGATTTTATTTTTAATTTATGAAATAAAAGAAGCATTTCCATAACATAGTATAATAAAAAAGATAATTGCTTGTGAAACTGCCAGCCTATTATGCACATCTTGCTATTCCTTTTAAATATATAATAAAGTTATGTAAATTTACTTTTCTTTTTTTTTCTCCCCCCCACCATTAGACAAAAATAGATATGCATATAAAATAAACCCACATAAGTCATTGGCACTTCTATATAACCAACAAAGCCCAACAACAAGAGATAGAAACGGAAATTCCATTGAAACTTACTGTAGACATTATAAAATATTTAGGAGTCTACCTCCCAAAACCCAGGAATTCTGTGAACACAATTACAAAACACTTTTCACAGAAATACAATCAGATCTAAATAATTTGAAAAACATCAGTTGCTCATGGGTAGGCTGAGCTAATATAATAAAATGACAATTCTGCCTAATCTAATTTACTTATTCAGTGCCATACCAATCAAACTACCAAAAAATTATTTTATACACCTAAAAAAAATGATAACAAGATTCATTTGGAAGAACAAAAGGTCCAGAATATCAAGGGAACTAATGAAAAGAAATGCAGAGGAATCTTAAATTGTACTATAAAGCAGGAATCATCAAAACTGCTTGGTACTGGCTAAGAAACAGTATCAATGGAATAGGTTAAATATGCAGGACACAGTAGTCAATGACTATAGTAATCTATTATTTGATAAACCCAAAGACCCCAGCTTCTGGGATAACAACCCACTCTTTGGAGAAAACTGGAAAAGAGTATGGCAGAAACTAGGCATAGACCAAAATCTCACACCATATACCAAAATAAAGTCAAAATGGGTTCATGACTTAGATATAAAGGCTGATACTATAAGCAGACTGAGAGAGCAAGGAATAGTTTATCTATCAGATCTATGGAGAACAGAAGAATTCATGACCAAACAGGAGATAGAGAACATTATGAAAAGCAAAATGGATACTTTTGTTTACATTAAATTGAAAAGTTTTTGCACAAACAAAACCAATGCAATTAAGATTAGAAGGAAGGTAGAAAATTGGGAATTTTTACAACCAGTCTCTCTAATAAGGGCCTCATTTCTAAAATGTATAGAGTATTAAGTCAAATTTATAAGAATACAAGCCATTCCCCCCATTGATAAATGGTCAAAGGATATGAACAGACAGTTGTCAGATGAGGAAATTAAAGCCATCTATAGTCATATGAAGAAATGCTCTAAATCATTATTGATCAGAGAAATGCAAATCAAAACAACTCTGAGGTACCACATCACACCTATCAGATTGGCCAACGTGACAAAACAGGAAAATGATAAATGTTGGAGAAGATGTAGGAAAATTGGAACACTAATGCATTGTTGGTGGAGTTGTGAATTGATCCAACTATTTTGGAGAACAATTTGGAACTATGCCCAAAGGGCTATAAAAATGTGCATACCCTTTGACCCAGCAATAGCACTTCTAGGGCTATATCCCAAAGAGAGAGCATGTGAATGGGAAAAGGACCCACATGTACAAAAATATTCATAGCAACTCTTTTTGTGGTGGCAAAGAATTGTGAATTGAGAGGATGCCCATCAATTGGGGAATGGCTGAGCAAGTTGTGGTATATGAATGTAATGGAATACTATTGTGCTATAAGAAATGATGAACAGGCTGACTTCAGAAAAACCTGGAAAGACATGTATGGTCTGATGCTGAGTGACGTGAGCAGAACCAAGAAAACATTGTACACAGTAACAGCGAAGTTGTGCGATGACTAATATTGATAAACTTAACCCTTCCCAGCAACACAAGGATCTAAGACATCTCCAGAGGCCTAGTGATGCAAAATGCTATCCACATCCAAAGAAAGAACTATGGAAGTTGAATTGCTATTTTTTTTTGTCTTTTGAGTTTTGTTTCCTCTTTCTGATGGTTCCTCCTATTGGTTTTAATTTTTACTTACATTGCTAATGTGAAAATATGTTTAATAGGAATATAAATGTATAGCCTATATCAGATTGTGCGCTGTCTTGAGAAGGGTGGTGGGGAGAAAGCAGGAGAAAAATTTTAAACTCAAAAGCATATGGAGGTGATTATTGATAAATCAAAATAAATTAATTAAAATAAAAAAATAGGTATGCATACACACAAATATGTATATATAGATATATATACACATGTATATATAAAATTATTCTATACTTAGTTTTATTTATCAGTTGTATTTTTATTTCCATTCAGTTTTCCCCAGATACCAATAATATCTAGCTTATCTTAAATTCTATTCCCTTCCTTGACATCTTTCTTATTTATTTTTTGTTTAGATTGATCTAGTTCTAAGAGAAGAAAATTAAAGTTCCTGACTATTATATTACTACCATCTCTCTCCACTTGTAATTCATTTAGCTTTTTTTGGTAAAAATTTAGATGCTATAGTATTTGGTGTGTATAGATTCAGTAATGATATTGTACATTCTGGAAAGATGGCAGAGTAGGTCAGAAATTTCTAGGCTCTCCAGATTTCCTTCTCAGACAGACAGAAAGTTGCCACCAAATGTATGGAGAGTGGCAAAAATACAGGGGTAAGGCAGTTGTCTTCCTAAGACAACTTGAGAGGACCTCAGAAAAGAAAGGACCTCCAAGGGCTGAGGTCTGGCCTGAATGAAGCATAGTCACCTCCAAGCCAATTCCACTGAATCAACAAATAACAGGCCCTGGATCAGCTCTGTCAGGAAGCTGACTAGGCCTCAAGACATTTCACTTCACAAACTTGTACCTCAAAATTTATCTAAGGAACAGCAGATGGCTGAGTGTGGGAAGATTGAAGAGCCCTCTCCTCCTGCCCTCCCCCACACCTGTTTGCAGAAGCTGGGTCTAGTGGTGCTGACCAGAGGTGATCCCAGGCTATGGCTGTTGGTGAGGAGAAGGGAGCACATGCACAGTGAGTGCAGTACTTCAGGAAGCAAGAACATTTTGGGGACAGCATGTCTGGGGGTCCTAACTTGTTCAGGGGAGGAGAGGAGTCCCTGAGGTTGAGCCCTTCCACGGAATTCAAAAAATAACAGTAAGGAAGATCTGAGGCCTAGGGCAACATTACCCACAACTCGGGCTTAAAACATGATCATAATAACAAACTGCCAAAGATAAATAAATAAAAGTGAGTAAGCAAAGGGAAAAGAACCCAACCATAGGTAGATGCTTTGGTGAAAAAGAAGATCTGGGTTCATATTCAGAGGAAACCAGTGAGGTAAAAAAAGCCACTCCTACTACCCCAAAGAACAATGTTAAAGGGTCACAATCCAAAAAAGAGCTTTTAGATGAACTAAAAAAGGAATTCAAAAATCAAATAGATTGAGGAAAAATTAGGAGAAAAAATAAAAACAATTAAAAATTATGAAAAGTTAGCCAATTGAGAAAAGAGTTATAAAATCTTAAGGAAGAAAATAATTCCTTGACAACTAGAATTGGGCAAATGGAATTCAATGATGTTAGAAGGCTCTCAGAAATGATTTTTAAAAAAGAGAGAGAATCTGAAACATTGCAGAAAAATAACTGATCTGGACAACAGATATAGGAGAGATAATATAAGAATTATCAGACTACATGAAAGTTATCAAAAAAAAGAATCTGGATACACTTTTAAGATTTATTTTTAGTTTTCAACAATTACTTTCATAAGCTTTTGAATTTTAAGTTTTCTTCCTCTCCTTGCCCCCCTCCCCAAGATGGCATGCAATCTGATATAGGGTCTACATATACCTTCCTATTAAACTTATTTTCACATTAGTTTTGTTGTAAGGAAGAATTAGAACCAATAGGAGGAACCACAATGGGAAACCACAAAAAGAGAAGCAAGAAACAAAACAAAAAAAAGAGCAAATAGTCATCTTCAATCTGCATTCAAACTCCATAGTTCTTTCTCTGGATGTGGATAGCATTTTCCATCATTAGACTTTTGGAGTTGTCTTAGATTCTTGCATTGCTGAGAAGGGCTAAGTCTATCAAAGTTAGTCCTTGCACAGTGTGGCTGTTACTATGTACAACGTTTTCCTGGTTCTGCTCACTTCACTCAGCATCAGACCATACAAGTCTTTCCAGGTTTTTCTGAAGTCAGCCTGTTCATCATTTCTTATAGCACAATGGTATTCCATTACATTCGTATTCCACGACTTGCTCAGCCATTCCCCAATTGATGGGCATCCTCTCAATTTACAATTTTTTGCATCCACAAAGAGAGCTGCTATAAATAGTTTTGTACATATGGGTCTTTTTCCCATTTTTATGATCTCTTTGGGATACAGCCCTAGAAGTGCTATTGCTGGGTCAAAGGTATGTACATTTTTATAGCCCTTTGGGTATAGTTCCAAATTGTTCTCCAAAGTGGTTGGATCAATTCACAACTCCACCAACAATGCATTAGTGTTCCAATTTTCCCACATTTTCTCCAACATTTATCATTTTTCTGTTTTGTTACTAATCTGATAGGTGTGATGTAGTACCTCACAGTTGTTTTGATTTGCATTTCTCTAATCAATAGTGATTTAGAGCATTTTTTTATGTGAGTGTAGATAGCTTTAATTTTTTCATCCGAAAATTGCCTGTTCATATTCTTTCATCATTTAACAACTGGGGGAATGACTTGTATTCTTTTTTTTTAGGGTTTTTTTTTCTTTTTAGGCAATTGGGGTTAAGTGACTTGCCTAGGGTCACACAGCTAGTAAGTGTCAGGTGTTTGGTCTGAGGCTGGATTTGAACTCAGGTACTCCTAACTTCAGGGCCAGTGCTCTATCCACTGCGCCACCTAGCTGCCCCTAATGACTTGTATTCTTATAAATTTTACTTAGTTCTCTATGTAGTTTAGAAATGAGGCCCTTATCAGAGACACTGGTTGTAAATCCACATCTACCACCCAGTTAGAAATCTGTTACCTTTTGTGTCTCTACCTCAAGGACACTCTGTCATTCCTCAATGAGTTTATTGACTGGCTCAGTCTTTCTTTCTTCTTCAACTCCTGCACTCATACCAGAAGACTTGAACATGCATAGTCACACAACAACATACTCCCTCAAAAAACCTCTTCCAGTTGCGCAGTTTACTAGTTTGCCATGAGATTATCCTCCACCCCACCTCAGGAACACACAGAGGGTCGTAACCTCAATCTTGCAAACTCCCACCAATGCAACTCCTCTATGGTCATAACCTCTGAAATGTGCTTATCTAATCACAATCTATTGTCATTCCATCCCTTTTTTTCTCAACCTTGCAATCTTAAACCTTGTTCTTCATCCTTACCATGACCTACAAGTGCTGAACTACTTGCTTCTTTCCTAGGCTCTCCCATGCTATGGCTTCTCTCTTCCCCATCTTGTTCTCTTGGTGAATGAATTCAGTCTACACTGTTCTCTTGAATACCTTAGCCCCTTATCCGATCACTGATGATGCTTTACCAAGCCTCATCCTAGATTATTCCCATCTTCCTTCCTACTTAAATGCTGTAGAACAAAGCTAGACTGGGATCATGTGTGTTACAAAGTCTCTCGCGCAGTATCTTCATCACCACAGAGGCTTTTCCAGAGCTTTTCATTCCTCCTCAGACTTCTAAGATATCTCCCCTTCCACTTGATTAACCCACTTGATTAGATTTTTTTTATCACTACATCAAAGTCAACTTATACCCAGTCCCTTTAATGTCCTGTAATAACAATACAGTTCTCAAGAGTTACAAGTGTCATCTTCTCTTGTAGGAATGTAAACAGTTTGTCCTCATTAATAACATGTTGTTGTTAATTTCTATCTGGTTTACCTTTTTATGTCTCTGCAAAAAATGAAAGTGAAAAAGAATATGCTTCAATTTGTACTCAAAGTTCATCAAGTTCTTTCATTTTTTATAATTAATCCTTTGGAATTTTCATGGATTATTGTCATCATCAGAGTACTTAAGTCTTTCACAGTTGATCATTATTACTGCTAATGTGCCCAGTCTTCTCCTAGTTCTTCTCACTTTTCACATTTATTGATTTTATTTATAATTTATGGAATAAAACAAACATTTCCTTAACATAGTATGATAAAAAAGATAATTGCATGTGAAATTGCAAATCTGTTATGTACAACTTGATATACTGCTTTGGTTGCATCCCACAAATTTTGGCATGTTGTCTTATTGTTATTTTCATTAATGAAAGTATTGATTATATGATTTGTTCTTTGACCCCCACATTCTTTAGGATTAGATTATTTAATTTTCAATTAATTTTGATCTGTCCTTCAAAGACCCTATATTGAATGTGATTTTCAATGTGTTATGGTTGGTAAAGTACGCACTTATTATTTCTGCTTTACCGAGTTTGTGAGGTTTCTGTGCACTAACACAGCCTGAATTTTTGTGATGGTGCTATATACAGTGGAGAAAAAGGTATATTCCTTTCTGTTCCCATTTACTTTTCTCCAAAAGTCTATCTGCCGTAGCTTATTTTTCTATTCTTAACTTCTTAATTATTTTATGGTTAGATTTGTCTAGTTTTGAGAAGAGAAAGTTGAAGTCCCTCACTGGTATAGTTTGGCTGTTTAATTCTTCCTGTAACTCATTTTACTTTTGCTTTACAATTTTGAATGCTATGGTATTTGCTGCATATATTTTTAGAATTCTAATGACTTCATTGTCTATGATACCTTTTAGCCAAGATGTAGTTTCCCTGTATCTCCTTTAATTAGATTTACTTTTGTTTTTGCATTGTCTCACATCATCATTGCTACCCCTCCCTCTGCTCTAGTCATTTATTTTAACTCTGTGTATTTTTCTTTTTTCAGATTTGGAGTTTTTTTGTGATAAACATATTGTTGACTCTGTTTTCTGATCAGTCTGCTTTTCACTTCCATCTTATTTGTCAATTCATTCTATTCACATTCACAGTTATGATTACTGTTTTCATTTCTCCCTCTTATTTTCTTCTGATTTTCCCTCTCTGTTTTCTTTTTTTACCCTGTTCTGCCTCAGAAGTGTTTTTTGCTTCTTACTACTGCCTCCCTTCATCAGCTCCTCCTCTTATCACCTCCACCTTTTTCTCTTATCCCTTCCCCCTTCTGCTTCCTTATTGGATAAGATAGATTTCTTTATCCTGCTGAGTTTTGTATATATTCTTTCCTCCTTGAATCAGATTAGAATGAGATTCAAGCAGTGCCAACCCCTCCTATTTTCTTCTCCATCAAAAGTGTTTTTCCTTTCTCTCCATTTTCATATAAGAAAACTTCCCTCATTTTTCTACTTCCTTCTCATCTCCTAGTACATCTCTTTCTTAACCTTCCATTATTTTTAGTGATAGCTATTTTCAACTATTTCATTTTCATTGTTTCAGCAAATAGAAAAGGAATTAGCCATATTATTGCTTTAGGTCAGAGGGCAGAAGTAGGAGCCATGGATGAACATTGTAAAAAAATGAACCACACATTTCAAATTGATGTCATTGGAACCATTTACAACAGTGTTTATTAAGCACCTACAAGTGTCCTGCAACTGTGCTAAGTGCTGAGGAGACCAAAGATGGCAGTAATAGCTCCTGCTCTTAAGGAACACACAAACTCATCCAAGAGAAATTCTTTTTTTTTTAATTTTTATTCATTTAATTTTTAATTTATGGAATAAAACAAGCATTTCCAATACATAGTATGATGAAAAAAAGATGATTTCATATGAAACTGCAAATTTTTATCTACAACTTGCTATTTCTTTTAAATATATAAAAAAATTATCCTGTAAATTTCTTTTTCTCCCTTCTCCCCCCAATCCTAGAGATGGCTACCATTAGATACAAATGTCTGTGTGTGTAGGTGTATGTGTATGTGTATGTAAAATGATTCTATATATTCTTCTGTTTATCAGTTCTTTCTGGGAGATGAATTCTTAAGTGCCTGCTATATATCAGACACTGTACTGGGATGCAAATAAAGAAATGAAACAATCCCTCATGGCAAGTGAAAGATGAAATGACTGGGGAAACAAAGGTTCAATCTTTGAGGCATATCAGTTTATTAAGCAATGCATGGCAATTGCACAACAAACTGGGACCAGGCCCTTCCTCACCTTAGGGCTGGATCCTGAATATGGAGGGAGATGTGCTTTTTTACATTAAAAACAATCAAACAAGAGGAATTAATTAAAAGCAAATAATGGACTATTAGGCAATTTGATTTCTAAATGGAGGAAAGATTGGGCACTTTCCATGTTGGGAGGGGGGAAAAGCAGCAGGTTCAGTTCCCTGAATTCAGAAAATGAGGTGTCCCACCCCCCAAAGTGTCTGTATACAATCAAATGAACGTGGAAACAATTAATTGTTCAATATGGGGTCAGATGGATGTCAGATATATGAGTTGCTTCATATGTGCGATTGTGAGAAAACTCCTTGTATCAGTCTTTTTGGATCTGACTGGATTTCTGGTCAGCATGACCTCAGTCCTTGGTTACTGGTTTCTAAAGAGCAGGTACAGGTGGTCTTGTTTCCCAGCCACACAGGGCTTATTGTATCAAGCGATACGATAAGGTTTTCCCGAAATTCCTACAATTGAATAAATTTTTCTCACAAGACAGAAGTTGTACTATAGCTATAACTGAATTAAAAAAAGACTGAGCTACCCCTAGAATTGAGTCACAAAATTGGGTTGCTGTGGTTGCCTCAGTTGAGTCAATTTCCTGTACCACTTGCTATCCTAATGCCTTCAGTTCCCTCACCCTGCTGGCAAGCAGTTTACATTTGAACTTCTTAACAGTTAGAACTGGGTAAGCACGAATGTTTTTGGTATTTCAGGAATCAGTGACATTCAAGGATGTGGCTGTGGAATTCACCCAGGAAGAGTGGGTACAATTGAACCCATCTCAGAAAAAGCTGTACAGGGATGTGATGCTGGAGAACTATAAGAACTTGGTCTTTTTGGGTAAGAACAGCTACCCCTTTGGAGTGTTGATATGTACTATGACAACTTTCAAGATTTTAACAGTTATCCTTTGACATACAAGAGGAAAATATTCCTAATCCTTTTGTAGCCGGGGAAAGATTACTTGGCCTGTTTCCAGGAAAAAGGTCTATGCTTACTATGCCTGGAAATTGATTTCTTGATTTGTTGTTATTCTTGAGAATTTATCTTCCCCTCTCTGTTCCTTCAAATCCAGGATGGTTTTTTTTAATCCCAGTGTAGGTGTCCTCATGTACAATGTTCACACTGTCTAAGCAGAGAATGAGTCAAATGAACTATTTTTTCCTAAATCCTACTCAGTAATCCATTGTACCATAATATAGAATATCCTTCAGTGGTACTTTGTACTATCCTTGAGGTCTTCCTGCCATGCCTACTTTTTTGCCAAACAGGGTTTGAACTTGTTTTGAATTCTTTTATTGTTTTATGAATGCTTTTTTAAAAAAACTTAATTTCTCCAAAAAAAAAGAAAAAAAAGAAAAAACCCTACTCCCTCCAACCAACCCATTGAAACACCCATGGTTGAAAAAAAAATCTCAGATAAAATCAGCTAATATAGTACCCTTGGTATTTTAAGATGGAAGGAGTATTTCATCTATCTATTCTATAATGGAACTCTGAAATGACTCACTAGCACTTTTTCATTTTCAATGAACAGGATTTGCAGTTTCCAAACCAGATGTGATCTACCAATTGGAAAAAAAGGAAACATCTTGGATGCCAGAGCCAGATATTCCAAAAAGCAACTGTCCAGGTGACTACATAAAACCAAGCAGATGGCTCATTGCAGAATAGTGCTCTGGTGGTCATTTTAGGTGAAAGCTCTCGTAAAATGTTGAACAGTGTTCTGTCATAGCTTCTCAGGCCTGTTGAGAGAAGCTGAGATTTCATTTTTTACCTCAAGAGGTTATGTTTTTTAATGTATCTCTTTACTGAAATGTATCTCCACTCTCAAAGAGAGTTGTTGACTCAGTACAGGGCAGTTATTTCTCTTCTGCTCATTGAAGATTATTTTAACTTAAACAGACATGCTCCTGCCTTGCTTTCATGAATTCATTCTCCTTTTTGTCCTTTATTCTTTTTTTTTCTTTTTTGGTGAGGCAGTCGGCATTAAGTGACTTGCCCAGGGTCACACAGTGAATAAGTGTCAAGTGTCTGAGGCCACATTTGAATTCAGGTCCTCCTGACTCCAAGGCCAGAATTCTATCCACTGCACCACTATTCACCCTTTTAAAATAAGCACACTACTTAAGATATTAAGTAATATGCTCTTTTTGCTTAGTTCTCTTCTGATATTTTCCTCTGTTTTGTTTTTATGATTATATTGCTTTGCTACTACTTTTTAAAGTATTTAATCCTAACCTAATTCCCCCTTCTTCAGTGTATCATGTTATGTGTCATCCAGTTTTTTTCTTTGAAATTGTGTTTATAAAGGCACATTAATATGTTCATATGACAGGACTTGTTTAGCCATAACCCCATCATTGGACCTATTTTATTCTTTTGCCGTTTCCTAAAAAGTTGTGACAATTTTACTGAGAGTGCTTTGTTTGCCTTCAGTAACATGTTGAAGATGTAGATTTAGTGCTGGGACCACTGGGTCAAAGCATATGGACAGTTTTGTAGATCTAGATCAAATTCCTTTGTTACTTTTCAGGAAAATGGCAGCGGCAGCAGCTTAATAAATAGCTATTTCAACTTACTTGCCAAAATTGATCATTTTCAAGTGTCTTTTCTAATCTGAAGGCTATTTATTGCTACCTCCAAATTGTTTTCATTTTTTCTTGTTTGATTACCAGAATTGGAGTAATATTTTAGGTAATTATTAATAATTGCTCTTGCCAAAAACAACTGTGTCTTACTATTACAAATTTCAATTAATTCTTTACAAAGTAGATATGTTGGATTTTTAGGGGAAATTTATGGCAACAATTGTCACATTTTTACCCTCATAGTTCTTTATTCTGTTTACTTCATGTATATATTTCTTCCTCACTCTAAAGTCAATTCTCTAATTTCATTTAGTTCAGTTTTTTTCCTTTCCTATTTTCCCCTCAGAGGGTAAGGATACATTTGTAAATTCTCAGAGTCATCAGTTTTTTTCTGGATAGTCTTATTCTGTTTAAATGTCAGCCAATTAAAGTTGCATAAGGGTTCATTCATCCTTCCAGGTAATTTCTTCCTAAGTCAGTTCATTTGCATGTGTGACTTTGAGTCATCATACTTTTACATAAGCTAAATTGATCCTTAGTGAAAGACTAATGAGAGTAGCCTTCTCAAGAGAACAGCTCTAAAACCTTTGAGCAGCTAAGTATCTTGGGAAGGGGGGAAGAGGCAGGTTTAAACAGCTCTTTAATCTTCCTTTCAGGGAGCAGAGAATTTGCTGGAGATAAGCCTTTTGAATATAGTGAATGTGGGAAGGTCTTCAGGAGCAAGAAGCATCTTGCTGTGTGTCAGAGACTTCATCCTGGAGAGAAGCCTTATAAATGTAGTGAATGTGGGAAAGCCTTCTGGAAGAAGTCACATTATACTGAGCATCAGAGACTTCATACTGGAGAGAAACCTTATGAGTGTAGTGAATGTGGGAAGGCCTTCAGGATTAAGTCAGACCTTACTGTGCATCAGAGAATTCATACTGGAGAGATGCTTTATGAATGCAAGCAGTGTGGGAAGGCTTTCCCCTACAACTCACGTCTTATTCAACATCAAAAAATTCATACGGGAGAAAAACCCTATGAATGTAGTGAATGTGGGAAGGCCTTCAGGTCCAACTCGCAACTTATAGCACATCAAAGAATTCATACTGGAGACGTTCTTTATGAATGTAAGGAGTGTGGGAAAGCTTTCCTCTACAACTCATATCTTACTCAACATCAAAAAATTCATACTGGAGAGAAACCTTATGAATGTAGCGAATGTGGGAAGGCCTTCAGGAGTAAGATACAACTTACAGTGCATGAGAGAATTCATACTGGAGAGAAACCTTATGAATGTAGTGAATGTGGGAAGGCCTTCAGGAGGAAAGGACATCATACTGAGCATCAGAGAATTCATACTGGAGACGTTCTTTATGAATGTAAGGAGTGTGGAAAGGGTTTTCTCTACAACTCAGTATTTATTGTACATCAGAGAATTCATACTGGAGAGAAACCTTATGAATGTAGTGAATGTATGGAGGCCTTTAGGAGTAAGACACTCCTTTCTGTACACCAGAGAATTCATACTAGGAATATGCTCTATGAATGCAAGGAGTGTGGGAAGGCTTTCCCATACAACTCAGAACTTATTCGACATCAGAGAATTCATACTGGAGAGAAACCTTATGAATGTAGTGTATGTGGGAAGGACTTCAGGATGAAGGAAAATCTTACTGTGCATGAGAGAATTCATACTGGAGAGAAACCTTATGCATGTAGTGAATGTGGAAATGCTTTCAAGAGTAAAACACAACTTACTGTGCATCAGAAAATTCATATTGGAGGCAGTCTTTTTGAATGTAAGGAGTGTGGGAAGGGTTTCCCATATAACTCAGCTCTTACTCGACATAAAAAAATTCACGCTGGAGAGAAACCTAATGAATGTAATGAGTGTGGGAAGACTTTCAGAGTGAAGATACAGCTTACTCAACACCAAAAAATTCATTCAGGAGAGAAACCTTAAATATGTGATGCATGTAGGAAGGCCTTTAGACTGAGGACACTACTTTATGTCCATCAGAGAATTTATAAGATTCCTCTTGAATGTAAGGAGTGTAGGAAAGCCTTCCATTGCAACTCAGATCTTATTAAACATCAAAAATTGATACTGGAACAAAAACCTTATGTATGTAGTGAATGTGAGAGGGCTTTGAGAAAGAAGGTACACCTTACTGTGCATCAGAAAATTCATATTGGAGAAATTCTGTATGAATATGAGTAGTGTAGGAAGCCCTTCTCTCACAACTCAGATCTTATTCAACTTCAGATCATACCTTATGAATGTAATGTACACGGAAAGGCTTTGCACTTGAGTGTAGATCTTACTAAACATCAGAGCATTCATACTGAAGAAAGATGTTATGAATGCAGTGAATGTGAGAAGACCTTCAGGCTGAAAACACAACTTGCTCAACATCAAAGAATTAATTCTGGAGGGAAACCTTTTGAATTTGGGAAAGTCTTTAGACAAAGGACCTACTTGATGTCCATCAGAGAATTCATACTAGAGTGATTCTTCATGAAGATGAGGAGTGTGGGAAGATTCCCCCAAGCTGACTAGACTGTGATTCTGAGTCCCTAGATGTAGTTCAGAGAATCTTTACTTAGGCTGCATGGGAGAAGAAGATATCCCTCCCTCTGTAGAGACCTCTAAAGGGGCAAAGATTTAGTGTTATCCTCCCATAGGTGTTCAGGGAGGGAGAGATTATGCTGGCTGAGTCAGAGGTTACTGAGTGGATAGTGGTATAGGGAGAGCCTTAGTATTAACTTTGATCCCTGGGAATATGGTGTGCAAGATGCTTGGGGATGACCTCTTGGCCATCAGATGAGTCTGAGCCTAATGAGTGATGAATAATTGTTGACAGTGCTTGATAAATCTGATTAAATTAAATTAATTTAATTAAATTAATCTGATAAATCAAAGTGAGCTTTGTTCCTGATTTTGCTGGTGCTGCTTCTGCTCATGTTCATTTGGGTAGCCAGTGTGGACCATAAAGACTTGGAATCATCTTAATTAAAACAAAGCATCAGAAGGACCTGTGGCAGATTTTGATGTAATGTGATTTCTGCACAGTGCTCTGAAAGTCAAAGGAAAGAAATTTATTGAAGTGCAGCTAAACAGCAGGATTAACTATGGCCTCCTTATGGTAGCCAAATGCCTTGTCATCCAGTTGGTGACACACGTGAAAAGATAAATAAGATTCCCGTTATGGTTAGGAAATATAAACAGGGAGTTTTCAATGAAGAAATCAAAGCTATCAATAATAATGAAAAAGTGCTCTAAATCACTAAATCTATTAGAGAAATGCAGATGAAAACAATTTTGAGGTAATACCTTACACTACCTCAGATTGGCCAACAAGACAGAAGAGGAAAATGACAAATTCTGGAGGGGATATGGAAAAATAGGTACACTATGCACAATTCAGAACTGGTCCAACCATTCTAGAGAACAATTTGGAACTGTGCCCAAAGCACTATAAAGCTCTACATACCACATAGCAATACCACGACTAGGTCTGTATTCCACACAGGTGAAAGAAAAAGGAAAAGGACCTACAGGTACAAAAATATTTATAGCCAGCCTTTTTTGTGGTGGCAAAGAATTGGAAATTGAGGGGACGATCATCGGTTCCTGAGCAGCTGAAGAGGTGATTGTATATGATTGTGATGCAATGTTGTGCTGTAAGAAACGAGGGAGATGGTTTTGCCAAAACCTGGGAAGACCTATGTGAATAGATGCAGAGTTAAGTAAGCAGAACCAAGAGCTCTTTGTGTAGATTAACAACATTTTAATGATGATTAGATGTTCAGCTGTGAATGACTTACTTATGCTGATCAAGAAAATCATCTAAGACCATTCCAGAGGATTCATGATAAAAAAAATTGCTGTCTACCTCCAGAGAGAACTGACAAACTTAGTATGAATTGTAGTATATTTTTTTACTTTTTAACTTTCTTGCTTGTTTATGGCATGGCTAACATGGCTAAAACATAGAAATATATTTTGTGTGATTACACATGTATAATTGACATATTCCTTGTCTTCTCAATGACT